CGCCGCCCCCCGCCCCCCGCGGGGCCCATGGTGCTGCGGGAAGAGGAGAAGGATCTCCAGTGGGCAGAGATGCAGGCAGGGCAGTGGACAGGGTGCGAGCCACAGCAGAAGCTGCCCATGGGCACCGCTGCCGGGGGCTGCCCCGGCCGGACTGGGCGGGAGGATGTGCAGTGGCTTTGGCTGGCAGCGGCACACACAGTGCAGGGGGCTACAGCCCCTGGGCAGGGGCTTTCACCAGGCATTGACCCTCCAGCTGAGCTGGCATTGCCTGGGCATTGCCTGCCTGGGGGCACTTGTGCCCTCGCTGGGAGCGGAAGGGGTGGATATGGCACCAGGGCAGCGTGAGGGCTCCCGAGCGTTCAGCTTAGGGGTGACGTGTAAGAGGGGATTTTCAGCCCAGCTGCCTCGGTGCTGCCACTGGCACCTGGCTCCGGCACCCACCAGGACCTGCAGGGCCTGGCCCAGTGAAGTTGTTGACAAGCAGCAGCGGTGGGGAAGGTCTGAGCAAATGCCTACGAATTCATCCCACTCAATCACCATCTGGAGCCGCTGCTATTTATAACAAAGGATTTCTGCTTTCCTAAAAATACCCCCCCGTTGCTGTTCCTGGCACCCTGGCCGGCTCGGCCGTGCTTTGCTCGCAGGTGCCTGGCCAGTGCCTGGCTCTGCGCAGGGGGGACAGGTCCCGGCAGGCACGGGGCAGCAGCCCAGGGCTGTGCAGCAGCCCGGAGGCAGCTCCCGGTCTCGCACCCTCAGCCCCAGCAGGGTTCCAGGGGAGCTCGGGCAGACGCAGGGTTCGAGGCAGGAGAAGCCCTGGGACAGCCCCTGCCACCCTGCAGCTGCTGGCGAGGCTGGTCCAGCAGCTGCCACGAGGGCTGAGGAGCAGAGCCCGAGCCCAGCCCAAGCGCAGGTTATCTGCCACACCGATAACCAGAGCGAGCCCCATTCGACAGCCTGGAGCCGCTCCACCTGCCAGGCCCCATTGCCACACGGCCGAGGGAACATGTTGGGGCGCTTCGTGCTGGCAGCGCGCCCGGTCGGGACTCCCGACAGCCTCTG